AGCATGTTTGAACCTGTTTGTGGTAAAAAAGTTTGGTAAAAAGTGAATTTCTAAACGCAAATGAAAAATCTAATAAATTGGGGTAAGCACGGAAGTGGAATTGTCCAACACCCTAAAGATTTTAGGAACACCTCCTCAGTCCCCGGAACTTAATCTGATTGAGCACTTGTGGGCAAAACCGGCCTTCCAAAAGCAATCCTCAAAGAATGGTGAGAAATCTCTGCGGAGCGAACAAAAAAATTTGTTTTTTCAATGCCAAATAGCTTAAAATAAGTTATAAAGGTGAATGGATAAGCTACCAGATATTACTTAAAAGTAAAATTAAATTTAGTTTATATATACAATTTTTTTTACGAATACTCTTGTGATATGACTTCACCGAGTTTTCACTTAAAGTATTTTTACCTATGTTCCTTTAAAATTAATGCTTAATTTTTGAGTTTAAATAAAAGTTTCTGTAGTTTTAACTTTTATCTAAACTCAAAACAGTAATAAAACAATTTATTTTAATACAAATAAAGCTTTTGTAAGAATTGCAAGCAATTTCTGTCTTGAAATTAATTTTCCGAATACTTTTGTGAGGTATGTACTTTAAACTTATTCAACTGTATGTACTTTAAACTTATCAGAGGGCGGGGCCACGCCAACTTTGTAGAAAAAATTACCAACAGATGCCCTCTATACTTCGGCAAATTACAGTTTTTTATCTTAATTTATGACTTAGTTATAGATCTTTATAGGTTTTCGCTTAGTGGCATTTTGTAGGCGTGCCAGTGAACGATGCCAAGGAACACATGTTCCAAGTTTTATTAGGATATCGAAATTTACCCAATTTTTCGCCTGCATGGACGGACGAACAGACAGACATTCAACCGGATTTCCAGTCGTCATGTCATCCTGATCATTTATATATGTATATATAACTCTATATCTATCTCGATTAGATGTAGGTTTTACTGTCAAAAACTCTGTAGTAACATGTTGCAAGAGTATAAAAATTAGAGATAAAGAATTCATTGTTCGACGAAAGACCCCCCTTTTTTTAAAGAAACCATATCCATTTTAGATCACATCACATATATTAATCAACATAAAAGGATTAAAGTCAGCTGGAAAATGAGAAATCATTATATCGAGAGTATTTGGCTCTGGACTGATTGCATTCACTTTTTACGTTACTCAAGTATACTGGGGTACATGTTTTCATGCACTTTTGTAGCGGTAACTCACACGCTGATGGAACTATTCAAGATAAAACGTGCTAGAATAATGAAAATCATTATATGTAAAATATGTGAGTTGGCGTAATTTGTTCACCAATTTCACCTATTTTCTACATTAAACTATAATATATCCAATATTATACATTCACTTAATTTGGCTAAGATACCTTACAAATTGACCGATATATAATATATGGCATTAAGCCAACCGAAAATTGGAAATTCGTTTATTAGGTACATAAATGCACCCGATTTTATTCATTTTAGATACGTGAATATACCATTATTAGAAATATATGTTTTCTGAGTTTCATTAAGACAACTCACATATTTACTGATATTTACAGTATAAAGTCAACTCAAAGTTCGAACCTTTATATGAGGTAAAGGGAAAATGTTGATCCGATTTTACCCCTATTTGGCAGAAGGGCACCCTATTATCAGGAAAAGACTCTCGGAATTTCAATAATATGTCTCAAAGATTTACCTATGTATACAATAAATTATCAGTTATAAGTACTGTGATCCACATATTCGGTATCTGAAGCTTGACAAGTTACCGTCCGATTTTTTCAGACAATTTTTTGGCATAAGATGATATGTCCTCAGGGTACTCTTTGTACTAAGTTTTATTCTAATATTTTCATTGGTATTTTATTTATATACCCTAAAATGAAAACCATTTCACCTAAGGGTAGGTGGTGCCATGCTCATAGTCTAATTTTTATATCGGCTCCTAATAAGTCCTTTCGTACCACCTCGGGTATACAATTTATTTATTGAGTTACCGCACTTCTAGTTGTTTTCAACCGATTTATCCATTTCCACATTGTCGGAGGAAGAAATGATTTGTTTCGAGCAAATTTGGTTGATAGATATTCAGGGAGATAAATACATTAAACCTATTAGGGGCGGGACCCACTTTTTCAAAAAAATTTAAATCACATCTGCAATACTAACCTTCTCATGGTGCCTAGAAATATGTCTACCAAGGTTCATCAAGATATGTATCTCAATTTTTTATCAAATTATCGCTTGTACAGACGGACGTACTCAGTCACCCGATCTGCTAAGCAACATATTGCTAGAGTATAATAAGGTTGTTGACACATTTAGATGGACGCTGCTCTAAATTAGCAGAGTAAAATACCTGTCGGTTCACACCCGAACTCTTTTGTCGCGCAAGCCATTTTGTTGGCCAGATCACGACTAAAAGGGTCAATTTCATATCCTTAAATCTGGGTTTACATACAAACGCCATTCTCTTTTGGTGTGGTCCATTACAAGAACATAAAGCGTGTTGCCCGAGCACGAGCGACCCGGTTCCTTCGTCTTTCCTCCGCGAGACCATTGCTTACAGACTACTAGTTTCAGCCAGTAAAGTTATCGTGTGTAAACGGAGTCTAAGGATACAAGCTTATCAGAAGAAGAAGCATTTGTCAATTCACAAGAGTTATTGGAATGAGGAGTAGAGACAAGTACTTTGTGGCCGAAAATCATGCATGTGCTATGTCTTCAATAAACTAAATAAAATAAAAGCTGATGCGAAATATAATTTGTAACTTTAGTATAGCCACATTCAATATAAAAATTATTGAATACTTCACTTCAGGTTTACTAGAAAGAAACCTGTTAACGTCTACAACTTCGTCCTTGACACTTTAACACTTCCTCTCTGATATGTATAGTATGACGCTTAATACCCAAACTTTACATAATTACATAAATATCAATTTTATAATTTTTTGAGGTTTGAGGTGTCATAACGGAGCAACGGTTACTGCTATTTTCAGTAGAAAATTTATTTAAAATTAAAAGCGGAGAAAGCTAAACAATTCGTCTTCTGATTTAAATCAAATGGTGCTGTTAAAAATAGGGGTTACAGTACCTATTATGTCATAAGCTTAAATATTAAACGTTTTAAAAACATATTAAACTTTTCAATTTCCGAAATTTCTCACTTTTAGATAAAGCAAAGACCTTTTTAAGTTAAAGATTTGAAAGTTGGCATATATATGTAATTTGGTCCAACTTAAATGATAAGATAATTACTTTTTAAATTAATGGTCTCAATAATTAAATAAACTGATCATTAATTAATGTAATATAAAAATGTATCACTGAATGTATTGCTAAGCGCAAATTTCGAGAACAGCTGACCCGATTTCCCTAAATCTGTTTTTTAGAATATTGCTTAAAGTATGAGGATGGTTTCTACGTAGAGAAAAATTAAAAACAATTTCTGAAAAAGCCCAAAAACAACACTTTCCTATACTTCTATATAAACAGTTCGTAATATTATATATGTATATAAAAGAGAGTCGTTGTTAGCTACAATATCTATTACTCATGAACGGTTTAACCGATTTGGCTTTAAATTGGTGAGGAGATAGCTTAGAATCGTCTTTTTTAAATCATTCGTTACTGTTGTTAATGTGAATGAAAACATAAATTATCTAGATATACTAGGACGGACATCACATAATCTTCGGTTGAAAATTATTCAGAGTTATTTCAATTCACCTCAATTATGCAACGTTACACCTTTGATAATCAAAAAGATTACAAGAAATATTATTGTAGCAACCATTTGGACTGGAAAATTTAATAGAGAAATGGTCCTCTTGCCACGTTTTCCAACGGTACTGTACGATACAAATAGAGCTTAATTAAATTGAACTTGAAAACTTTTACTTATAAAACTAAAAACAATATATATTATTGTTAAAAATTAAGAATGATCTAGCTTCTTTCATTATCTGAAATGTTATCAACTAACAATTTTGAAAATTACTCATTTGTTTCAAACTTGAATATAAAATTAATAAAATAAAAAAATCAACATATCTTATTTTGTTAATTGTGTTTAATACCAAATCAAATGAAATTAGTATCAATCATTTTCAAATTGGAAGCGATCCGCTTGGTTATTCTTAAATTGGAAATAACTTTTTTGTTTTATTTCATAAATAGAATTTTACTATATTGAATAGTTTATAATTAATGTATACCTTAGCCACAGCAACGCGTGGACGGGGTCCTCTAGTAGTTATATAAAAGGAAAATTGATTTTTCACTGATTTCAAGATACCTGTGTATACCGCATCATACTTTGCCACACTCTTTGTATTATAACGTCACAACCTACCCTTTTGAGTTTAGGGGATAGTAAGTAAGCTTCCCACCGCGTCATGCATTAATGACGCCCACACAACCCCACAAAATTGTACTTGCGGATCCACAGAGCCATTGCCAGCCTCAACCGTATACGCCAATACCCAAACGCATCATTTACCCTAAAAATTGTCAGCCCCCCAGATATCTTGCCCAAGACGGGAAAGCACCAATTTGATGGATGTATATATGTAAATGAATCTATATGTATTTGGTCTGATCACTTGTATATGCATATACATATATATCTAAACGTATATAAATACCTATGTATGTATGTAAGGAAATTCGTTTGTGCCCATGTACCTATAGCTTTTGAAATTGTTTTCAATAATTAAAGAATTCAAAAAGATGCATTAAAATTTCAGTGAAAATACAAACAATTATACTCGTATTGCTTCAAATGTAGATATATGTATATACATATAAATATGCGTTAGGCATAACTTATGCATCCACACTATACACTTGCAAAAAATTTTACATATGCACGTACATATGAATAACAAAGTATATAATGAATTTTCATGCTCATATATATATATATATATATATATATATATGCATGTGTTATATGCATTGCAAGCAATTTTCATAACCCACCAAAAAAATGTTTGAGCGTTTTCGCATATTTCCAGACGTGAATATAAATTGCGGCGTAAATAAATTCCATACGGTTTCAATAACTTTTTACCATTTCTTCTAATTTTTATACTTATTTATGCAAAACAAAGATGTTGCACTATTTTTTTTAATATATTTGCACAAAGAAAAATATTGACCAGTAATATTTGTATACCTTTAAAAATTTTCTTTCAATTGCACATGGCTATTTAATATTTAAAAGATTTAAGTAAAATGAAACATAGTATAAGTCGCGATGCAGATATTACCATAAAAAAAAGCTCATATGCATATATACCTATGTTGTAGTTTAAACGTAATATATATTCGTATATTTATATTTTCGCACCAATTTTAGATTTCAATGCCTTTCAGGAGAATTTAATTTCATAAATATGATGGCAAGGAAAGTATTTTCCATTAACCGTTTATTATCAATAATCACCCGCGATTCACGACTGTCTTTTAAAACTTTCCGTTGTAAACTGAATCGGTACACATAAAGGAAAAAAGCTATTACGCTGGTACTGTCATCAGAGTACGCTTCGTACACAGGTATTAACATATATATAAATTTAAGAATGTTAATACAAAAGTTTCAATGTTGATGTGAGTTTGCTTTTGAATGTGAGAAGCTTACGCTCCCAAAAGCCGAAACGAGCTTCATGAAGCAGCTGTAGGGCCACGAGCGACAGCTGCAGTGACGACGACGGCAAAAGTCCTTGCAAACAGCTTTCTGCCATTCTACATGTGTATTGAATATTTCCAAAAAGCTTTTCAGGCCCAATACACACCCCTAAAAGATACAAGTTCAAACAATATTTTTAAAGAGAACAACATGCCATATGTGCATACGTATTCATACGTATCTATGTAGGAATATATTACCCTTAAAAGCTCAAATTAAAATGTAAAAAAAATCCCTTCTTGAATACATACATACATACAGAACAATGTGAATGAACATCCTTTATTTAACGCACAGAGTATTTAATAGAAATAATAATAAATATAAAATACTAACACTTGATAATAGATTTTTTTAAATATGTAATTATGTGCAAGCCATACGTCCTATTAATTTAGGGTCCGTTAGTACATACTTATGTACATTTGCTGTTTTGTAATATTCTCATATCGGCTAGTGTGTAAATTTCTTTTTCGGTTTGACGGACGCACAAATCATAAAAGCACGTGTTGTCTGTAAATTAACATCTCACTTTTTTGAATGCCAAGAGGGTTGAAGTCCGTTGCCAGAAAAACACTTTCATCCACTTGCATCCCCACACCAAATCAGTTAGAAAAATTGCAGTTAACAAAAATTATTTTTAGATTAAATTCGAACTAGTCAGAAAAGCTTTAAGTTAATACCAATTTGTTGGTGAGTTGTATATAATTAACATAATACAGAGGAACTATGACAACTGACAAACCATAGGACATTAACATGTCAAAAAAACAGTTAATTATATAGAAAAAGACAATCCGCTGACTAATTGACCAATTGTTCATACTTGTAGTTAAGTGGTATATAACTAGATGATTTCACACCCGTTCACGCACATATTGTTCATGTATTGAATCAAAAAGTTCAATTTAATGTAGTAAGAGAATAAATAGTGCGCATTGCGTACAACTTTCTCTTATTTGTAATATATAAGAAAATATTTAACACATAGACAGTTTTGGGGTGTTTGGGGGGAAATTATCAACTACTTTCTGTACACATTGTACGTCAAGTTTTACCGAATTTAGCAAATGAAAGACACCGGTAACTGTGGGGAAAATAATGATCCAAGGCTTATTGAGATCAATCAATTGGTCGGATAGCACTTTGTTATGCATATACGTACATACAAACATAGTAGACGTATTAAATGGCGACATTCCAATAGATCTATTCGCAAAGGTAAGAAAACAACTCTGGCTATGGCAGAAGGACGGAACAGAAATAGACATGTCCACAAGACCACAGGCGAGGAAGTTAACACTTGAATTCTCGCAAGATCGGTGGACTAGGGAGTGCAAAGCAAGATGGAACTCCAAATTAATCAAAGATTAAGAGATGTGACACAGTAGGAAACACGGATAGGTAAACTATTCCTTAACACAGATGATTTCCGGGATGAGAACAGCAGAAAGTCCTGTGTGTTTTTACTTAGATGAACCACTAGACGACGCACACTATACCTTGCTTAAGTGCCGCCAATGAAAAAATGCACGGAAAAATGGTAAAATGAATTTTCGGTATACATAAAACCGAATTTCCATATTAACATGAAAAACTGAAAGTAAAAAAAAATGTTTTCTTTATAATTTTGAATGAATCTTTCAAGGATATTTTATTGTGTAAATTTTATCTTTTCTGCAAACTTAAAGTTCAAACTTTTGAAAATTTACAGTTACTTTTATTGAAACGCTTATCTTAGAGTTCACAGCCTATTTAGTGCTTTGAAGTTTGTTTATGTTCTTTGGGATACTAACCTACATCTTACTGTTTATTGCAAACATTTTTTTTGTTTGTTACTATATCTTTATTTATTGAATCTGCTTATTCAAAGCCTAACAATAAGTAATAAAATCTTAAACATAATTAAAACTAGACAAGCTCAAGGTTTTAGTTGAGCCTGTTTTGGTGATACGGTGCTCTTTAGAAGGATGGTAGATCTTCACTTTTTAGACGGGTTTCATATTAGGACTGTAGCAAGGCATTTGGCTAACGGATTTAGATGGTTACTGAGTTTAGGGTCATAGCTGTTTCTGCTGTCCTTTACTTCTTTCTTTACCACAGGAATACCAAGATCTTTGTGAATATTTTCAATACGAATATACCATCGTGAACCCGTTATAGCTCTAAGGATTTTTTAACTGAAACCTCTGTATTATACTAACATTTACACAGGTCGTACCTTACAGTTGAATACCATACATCCAAATCGGCTTTATTACCGCGTTGTATAGCAAAACTTTGTTGTCAATGCTAAGTTTAGAATTCTTATTCAATATCCAGTTTAAATTTTCTGATCTTATTTTCATGCAAGTTATTTTTTTCTCGATGTGAGCCTTCTGTCCAAGTGAATACCAACATCACTAAGATATTATTCATTTTAATCGGCTGTAACATATGTGATCTTAGTGAAAATGTAACATGCTTAAAATTTTGTTCATTTACTTTTATTCACTAATTGACTAGCCATTCTTCGACCAAAGCAAAATGATCCTCTAGTACCATTGACGCTCTGATGGGACATTTATTACGGCATACTAGGGCTGTTCATCCGCAAAAGTCGATGCAATATGTATATATGATATATAGAGTTAGGCCTAGTACACTTCCTTAAGGTACACCAGGCTTTATCGATTGTTTATCTGATATGAAATTAGCAACTTTAGCAGTAAATTTCCTATTTTTTTAAATAAGACTCCAATGTTTTATACAATTCGAACAGTAATAATGTTTTAAATTTGCCTTCATGTCAGACCTAATCGAATGCCTGAGCTGCTGAGCAATATTTTCTGTACTCAAATGCCTTTCTAATTTCGTTAGTAATTCTATTTACTTACTCCACACTGTTTGGCACGAAACCCGTGCCAATATTAATTATTAATATTATATTTTCTGACTTACACTTAACGTATAATTTCCTTGGTGTATTCAAATTATATTACCAATTAACATTTATTAGCTTTAAAAACTCTTATATATTGAGTAACCATTTAAACCTTTGTGATTTTATGATATATTAAAAAAAACCGGTTTTTGAACATTTAATAATAAATAAAGTGAATTCAGCTTTTTGAGTATTAACATCCTATTGCGGAAGGCTAGTGGATTATAGTTGTCGTACAGTCTATTTCAAACCCTGTAAATGAAATATTAATATATCAAACAAGTGAATGTGCTCCCCAATAAATTGGAAAGCAATTTTTTCATCGGTTTCAAGCCGGAAGGATTTTGGCGAGCTGATTACTTAATATTCTATTGATTAATTTTTAAGAGTTGATATATTCTGGTTGCCACAATACCGCAATAATATGTTTCCTTTCTGCCTTTCTGCCAGTTTGTTTGTTTAGTTTTCTGCTGTTTCACTCGCTGTGATAGTAACATCCCAATTTTCGAACCTCTTCTTCCTGCTAGCCACCAGGAACTAACAGTCAGAAAATCAACTTAGTAACTGTTATTAATCAGTGCGAAGTATAATTTCAGGCCACAACAAATGTTAAATGTTGCAAATCAGGGTCTGATATTTCTATGTATGTTTGTAATTTTAAGTAAGAAAACAACTATATTGCTTAAATAAATATACATAATGGCTCGTTGTACAAGTAGTTGTTCTAAACTACTTACCTCATACGGCTCCAATACTGACCACATATGTTATAGTCAAGACATTCAGCAAGTGTCAATAACTTTAATATTACTTGACAGTGGATCTGATAGAGCAGTGATACCAGAAGAAGCGGTAAGAAAACGTTCATCATACTTTATCTGTTTCTTATTTTAAAATTTTTAACAATCGAGTGAGTGACATAAATAAGTATTTGTTATGAGAAAAAATTATATTTAAAAATTATTCAAAACTTAATGGTTGTCGGACTACAACCACGCCTATTTCGCCCATTTTCGCACTATGACATAGAAATATGAAAAGAACGTTATGCACCGAATTTGGTTGAAATTGGTTAAGCAGATCTCAAGATATGGGTTTTCACCTAAAAGTGGGCGGTTTTAGTAGTTTTTAACAGTCCCGTTATATGGGGAGTGGGTGGAGTTGCCACCCGATTTCAACTATTTTCACACTGTAGGTAGAGGTTCTAAAAACATTTGCTTCCCGTGAATTTGGTTATTATAGCATTAGCGGTTTAGGAGATATGAACATTAAACCTATTAGTGACCACGCCCACTTTAAAAAAACTATTTTAACTGCAGATGTCCCTCTCTAATGTGATCCTGTGTACCAAATAAGAGTCTTGTATCTAATTGCGGAGCTTAGTTATGGCAATTTATTTGTTTTTGATTAATGGTGTTTTGTGGGAGTGGCGTTAGTCCGATTACGCCCATCTGCAATACCAACCGTCTCACGGTACCAAGAAATATGTCTACCAAGTTTCATAAAAATATCTCAATTTTTACTCAAGTTAGAGCTTGCAAGGACGGACAGACAGTCCCCCGGATTTCAACGTGTCTCTTCATCCAGATCATTTATATATTATATATACTTATAACCCTATATCTAACTCGATTAGATTTAGGTGATACAAACAACTGTTAGGTGAACAAAACTGTTATACTCTGTAGCAACAGGTTGCAAGAGTATAAAAATGTTGAGAAAGAACTAAACATACATTTTTAAATGATGTCGTGATTAAATTACAATCAAATTTGGTATCTTCTTGACTTATATTAAAGGCCATAATAAACTTAGTCTGAGTTTTATTGCTTGAGGTGAGATATACATAAGTATGAATGTGATATTAACTCTACCA